ATAAATGTGAAAAGAATTTCCTTAGATAAATGAATTTAATTGAATTTAATCGATTTACTCGTTTCATTTCATTCGAATATCTCTATAATGTGGAATATCGCATGGACATATGAATCGGTACAATGCGATTCATCTTTCGTCTTTATGCAATACGATAAGTACAACAATTTTAAAAAACGTTGACAGTTTTAATTTCGAACGAGAGAATATGGACACGAATTTCGTGAACGAGAATTGGTTTACCGTACCGAGCCTAAGCGTATTTTCCGAAAGTGAAAATCAGAGAATATCGCGTCATGGACTAGATCAACAAGTCGAATCGCGTTTGTAGAAATCGATATTGAAACGAATACTCGTTTTTAGGGTGTACGACGATTGTGCCCAACCGAATGCGGTAGTTCGATTTTTAATAGATCCCTCTATCTCCGTGATCGTTTAGCAACAAAACGTGATTTTATCTAAAAATTCACTTTTTCGATTCGCATGGTTCGTTCTTTTTCCTTTTTTTTTCATTTTTTTTTTTTAATTTAAATATCGAACTTTTAAAACAAAAAAAGACAGAGAGAGAGAGAGAAAAGAAAAAAAATAAACAAACTCGTCTTTACGGTCGATGATGATAATGAAAATGGTCCGGTACGACTCGAAGAGTTTATCGATTAACTCGTTGCACGCGTTAAATGCATTTTATCAGCTAGATTTCTCGCATGTACGTACGTACGTAACTAAAAATAGGTACGCTTTCACATAATTCCTAATGACTCTATGCAATGATACGGGACGAATCACCGATGCAATTGCATTCGAACGCAAATGAGTGTCACGGAACAATACTCGCGAGAAAACATTTTGAAAGCTTCTTTATATCTTCGATGTTTTTTCTTTTTTTTTCTTTTTTCTCTTTTTTCTTTTTTTCTTTTTTCTTTTTTTTTGCTATTTTTTTTTTTTTTTTTTTTTTTAAATATAATAATAGACCGTGGAATCGTGTCATCGATTAACCCACTTCTCCTTTACGCGGAATTTCTTTTTTATCCCATCCAATATTCCATCCGATAACTTTAATAGCTCATAACAATAACAAGTTATTATAAATTAAGAGGAAAAAATTGCACGTCATATTTTCTGATTTAAATTACTCGAGGGCCAATGAAAATGAAAGGACGATGAACCGTTGGTTAATGAGACGGAAGGTCCATAGAATTTTCAAGATTCTTTGTGCACGGGGATAGACTTGCTATCAGACTCTAGCACCCTTAATGGTACGCGTGTTACGAGCTTTGAAAGGGCAGTAGATGAATACTATAGAAGTGTTTGAGACACCCTTCGAACCAACGAAGAAGGGTTTTACGCACAATGTGTCCTTCCTTGCATCGATCGATTTTCTTTGTCACCGTGTAGACGTCTACGAAAAGGAATTGCTTATGCATATTTACGAAGGATCGCAAATACGTTCTCTACGTTCGTTGCAGATGTTAGACGAAAGATTAATGCGAGGACAAGGAGGGATAGTCAATGAGTAAAAAAGCTTTCGAGTGCAAGGATCAACGAACCATACGAACGAGGAAGAAATTTAATGAAATTAAATGTCGTAAAGGAAGGGAGAAGAAGAAAAATAAAAAAAAAATAACAAAAAAAAAAAAAAAAAAAAAAAAAAGAAGAAGAAAAAAACACGCAAACGTGTTTAGATTTAAAAAGTTAAACAATTTAAAACCAATCGATAATAGATCCAAAAGCAAACGAGTTTATGATAGATTATAAAATCAATGTGCTTTTTTACGAGCTTAAAGGATAGAAACGATTGAACAATAACTTCGTTAACAGGTTAATACTTAAGCGGGAAATGAGAGAATGGAACGAAGTCATCTTTTATGATCATCAGAGGGTAGGGTCACGCAGGGAGCTTTCCAATCATATTTTACGGTTTCAATAATAACGTTAGTTAACGGTTCGTGGAGCTGCTAGCAATCAGGGTGCTTTAACGAGTTTAACGACGCAAGCGACATTTTCTCTCTCTCTCTCTCTCTCTCTCTCTCTCTCGTTCATTTTTGATTCTCCTTCCTTCTTTGTACACTTAACGAGCAGATGTACGATTTATACGACATCGATTGCGTCTCTTTTCGTACAATGGTAGTAGAAAACGTTGTGGCGCGTAACTCGTGATTCTATCGATCAAACATAAGAAATAATCGAAGAAAAATAAATTCTTTTTATTATATAGTTGATGTTCGGTACCTGGCGCAAGAACGAACGTTAAATCGTTCAAGGGAATATCATAGTTGCAACTAGGATTTCGTGCGTGTAATGAAGGGACCGAACCGAGCCGGGTCGGACTGAGCTTCTTTAGAGCGAAAAAGGAAGTAGTCCATCATGGCGAAATCCGTTTTAATGCCTTTTAATGACGCTCGAAATTACAAACCCGGCTCGGTTCATTATGACAGCCAATCGATATTAATACGATCAATGAAAAATATATTTCAATTTTTATCCTCTTTGAAACGCTCCTCCTACGAATTTTTTTTCTTTTCTTTTTTTTCTTTTTTCTTTTTCATTTTATTTCATCGTTCAAATTTCAACTTCCTTCCCAACCATCCTATTCGTTCCCTTTACGCTTTCGTTATTCAACGTTTTGTATCGTTAATACAATACGGCAATGTTTTTTCGACTGGACGATGTTTACATCGTCCAGTCGATAAAAATTACGCGACAAAATTTGCGGATAACGCGGGAAAAGCGGTAAATCAAGAAACCCCGTCGTTTCGTTATTCGTGCACGGCTTCGCGAATATATTGTATCTCATAGAAATACGAGAGAGAGAGAGAGAGAGAGAGAGCGAGAGAGAAAGAGAGAGAGAGAAAGTGAGAGTAGAACGTCCCGATATTTTCGACAGGATCGTAAATAAGCTACGGTGCAAGGATTGGTGCGTTCATCGAAATTGCGTGTCATCGCGACATGAGACTATACGACGAAAAAAAGAGTAAATATAAACAAAACGAAACACACGCGTAAAAAAGAAAAAATATATAAAAAATTAAAAAAAAAAAAAAAAAAAAAAAAAAAGGAAAAAGAAGAAAGAAAAAGGGAAAAGAAAGAGAAAGATTAACGTTCATTTATTTTCATCCAATGTCATTAACAGCACAGTACGCATTGTATCTTTAAGATTTTGTCGTACGAAGGAACATATTAAATGATAATCGAGGGAGAAATTTCTTTTGATGGAGGTAAAGGGCATATCGAAAGTCCAATCATAAATCTTCGTAATGTTGCTCGTTCGGAAGGCTATCAGGGTTTGACGCTTAATCACGGATTATTCGAATCAAAGGAATTCGATCGACGGCCTCGTTTCTGATACAAAAGAAAATCGAAAAGAGAGAAGAGAGAGAGAGAGAGAGAGAGAGAGAGAGAGAGGAAAGAAAGAAAGAAAGAAAGAAAGAAAGAAAGAATGAATGAATGAATGAATGAATGAATGAATGAATGAATGAAAGAAAGAAAGAAGGAAAGAAGGAAAGAATCGAAAAGGGAATAAATGGGAACGACTGAAAAAGATCCTCCCGAGCATTGTCCAGGAGTCTATCCGTCTCTAACAGGCCGTAATATCGCGTTTAAAGGCAGCGACACTTCCATGTGTCCCTCTCGGCATAACGCATTCGTGGACCCTCGTTAACGCGAAACAATGGGCATTCGGATTTCATCCAATTCATTTATCACGCGCACTCTCACGAACGGTAACTGTACGGGACGAGAAACGGAGGAAAAAAGGTAATGAAAAAATCCCAACTTGGACATCATCTACCTACTTCCATCCTCCTTCCCCCCCACCTTCCCCCCTATCCCCGCCTATATAATATTTATTCGTCGTTGACCTCTTCGTTTCGTTTTCCAAAAGAACCGGGGGTTTGCCAAGAATTCTTAATAATTAATCAAACGCTTAATCCCTTACGTTATCTCTTAACTTAACCATTCGACAACATTTTCATTTCTAATTCATACCGATAAATATGCGTTGTACTCCTTTTTTTTTTTCTTCCTTTTATCTTAGTGAAATTTTTATTTTACCCAAGCGCGACATCGTCAGTTGAAAATAGAATGGGAGAAAAAATACGAATAACTTTGTCGTAGCAGGTAAGTACCACCACTACTATTACCATCGCTACTACTACTACTACTACTACTACTACTACTACTACTACCACTACTACTACTACTACTATTACTACTATTATATCTAATTCCTTAGGAAAGGTACTTTACCAATACGTAGAAAAGTGTGCGTGCTTCGATTACTTTGATATACTTCCGAAGTACCTTTGAAAACGTTTTCATATTACCTGCCTCGTGCAACGCGATCTCGATTTCGTGCGGCACGCAACGGGATTTCCAAGGGAGTCCGCGCGATCTCGCTGATATTGCGTTTCTAGATTCCCGAGTGGTTCTAGATGCAAAGAAACCGTTTCGCCCTTTTGCGAAAGAAAGTATAGGAAACGAGCAATTTACATCCGTGGCCGTTGAAAACTTTTTCGCCATGTTAAAGAATTTATATCGTTCGATATGTAAAAGGGAAAAAATTCATACACACGCATACACACACACACGCATATATATATATATATATACATACGAAGAAACGAAAATGTGAATAAGAAAGAAAGTTGAGGCGTTTAAGTAAAAGTTCACAAGAAAATTCGGTTACAGGATTAATTGTGATAAGAGAAATTTCGTAGTACGCATAACGAGGACCGCTTATCCTAATCGCGAACCTGCCCGCGACCACTTTGAACGTCTCTCCTAATACGCGATCTCAACATCGTAATAGCCTTGGTCTTGGGGGAAGGGGAAGGGGAGGGGATGGGGGGAGTGCTTATTAATAACAAGTTGCCTGAAGCATCTTCGTGGCTTTAGGGCAAAACTGCCACGCGGTTGGTTACCTTAAACGTGCCAGTCTTGATAAGAGCCGTATTAGCTGGGCCACGTAGGAGCTTAGCAATTAGTCAGGAAGAGCACGGACGTGCCAAAAAGCTCGGTAAACTCGTGCTCTTCTAGTCCCGCCCGTTAACTTCTCTTAGACTTCGGGTGTAAATCAGTAGTGTAGCCACTCAGTTTTAGCGGGACACCCGTTATACTACAGAGTTACACTCTCACACATTCAATACGTATACGAGAGTTTACCGTGCGGTGAGGTTACTTGTGGATTAATATCCCTATCTTCTCTTCGCTTCCATTCAAACCCCCTTCATTCTCATACTCTACACCATCGAGGACTGTTATATGCAGGCCTTCTCTCCTTCGTGTATGTATGAATGTATACGCCTATCTATTTGCATGTTTGTCTGCGATTTTGCATTTTCATTCTTCACCGATACACCCAAGGGTAGTCTGTAGTTGCTAACACCATTGCTGCGTCGGCAGCATGCTTCCGATTTATGGCTTTGTATATGTTATTTCGACGGTTCTCTTCATTTCTCTCTTTCTCCCTACCTCCCTCTCTCTCTCTCTCTCTCTCTCTCTCTCTCTCTCTCTCTCTTTCTATTCTACTATATAGATCTCCAACTTGGCCAATATTATTCCTTTCGGTTCTCTCTTACTCCATCTTCCAATACGAGAGATTATGTGACACTATAAATCGATAATCATCTATGACGATTGGAAAGAATTTGAGCAAAGCGTATAAATACGTAGATTTACAAGTTTCAATGTTCATAAAAAAAAAAAAGAAAAAAAAAGAAAAAAGAAAAAAGAGAAGAAAGAAAGAAAGTGAAAAAGAGCGATCATTTTATCTTCTACAATATTTCATCTCTATAAGAAAATATGTGTTGTTGATTTAGTAACGTATCTATACAAAACAAACCGCACGCGCGCACATACACATGTATATATATATATATATGTGTATACATATGTATGTATGTATATATGTATGTTCTACGTTACATACGTTCACAAGCGAAGCGTTCTAATCCAGCGTTCCGGCAGCTTCAACTGTCAGTGCAATAAGTCACAAATTATCCTACAGCCATTCCCTTTTCACATGGATTAGTGTTAACTCCAGTAACAAACAGTAACGGCGGCCATCTCGCGAGCGTGCGCGGGCGGCCGCTCACGGCCTGCTAATCCTGAATTCAGGAACGACGCGTTGATACCGCGAATTCCGAAAGTCCAAAGGATTTGTCCACTGAGCGGTAGGGAAGAGAGAGGAGATAGACGAAGAGTGAGCGAGAGAACGAAAGAACGAGAGAGAGAGATAGAGAGATAGAGAGATAGAAAGATAGAGAGAGAAATAGAGAGAGAGAGAGAGAGAGAGAGAGTCGTGCTCGTCGTGACAAGAGCGTTTTCAATGCAAGTCTAACCACTAGGGCGCACCGAGCGTGGTTAAGTGGTTTAGGACACTGCGATCGGCAGCTCGTGGCCGTGCAATCTGCAAGCGTTTCCACGACGTGGAGTGCCGTTTATCGAGGCATTCTATTGTATTAATTTGGCAATTTGACCGAACGACGAATATGTATATATATATATATGTACATATATGTATATATATATATATATATATATATATATATATATATGGCGACCGTGACGTACGTGAGCCATTGTGTCTAAAAAAAATGTTTTCTTATTTTTTTTTTTTTTTTTTTTTTTAATTTTTTTTCCTTTTCCTTTTTCTCCTTTTTTTTTTTTTTTTTTTTTTTTTTGAAAAAAATCATCATTTTCCTCTTTTTCCTTTGTTTCAAAAGAGTAAATGACCAAATGTTAATTTAATTTTATATCATTGTAAGGACTCGAAATATTGGAGACGCACGAGGAACTGTTAGAAATCCTTTCATCTTTGAATTATCACTTCCAATCAGTTTGATTACTATTTCTATCCAAGCATGATACCGATCATTGCGATTGGCAATTATACCGTAACACGGTCCCAATGCTTCTGTCAGATACGAGACATCGTTAATTCTATACTCCCTAATAACTTCGCCGTTTGAGAGGTTAGACTGGATACGTATGTACTTATATGATTTGGTATTTACAATTTTGAATCTAATCATCTTTGAACTCGTATTTACAGATCGCATCAGGATGAGATAACAGCTCACTTGACTTTGAATAGCGCAAGCCTAAATCCAAGATTATATTTGTCCGTACTCCCGATTAGATAGTGAATTTGATAGGAGGGTTCACGAGGTTTAATCCGTCGACAAATATCAGGAACGATATTGGAGAAGATTAGAATCTCTCGTCAATGTATTCGTATATTTGTGAAAATTGTGTCGAGTATTCATTTAAAAGTTAATATCCCTTGATAAATATCGAAACTCGAATCGTGAATGATGCGTAAGACTCGACTGTATTTAAATTATGTAAGTAAAAGTGGTATAAGCTGGTAGACGGTAGTTGAGAAGTTGTTTACGTCAAAATTGCGTTCGTGAAGTTGATAGGGATCGTTGGAACTTTTTGACTTTGTCGAGAGTCAAGATGACTTGAAGTTTATTTTTTGTTGTACTTTTCTCTCTTTTCCTTTCTCTCTCTCTCTCTCTCTCTCCCTCTCTCTCTCTCTCTATTCTTTTCTTTTTTTTCCTTTTCCTTTTTTTATATAAATCCCGAGAAATGTTCTTTTCAATCCATTGTAAGAAAAATCTTGAAAAGGATTTAGCGATGCGAGAAAATCTAATAGGAAAAAAATACGAGGACCGATGTCGGATTATTTGTTAAGAAAATTATACGCCTCGAAAAATCTTGTATACTGTTCTCATGTCTCGGTAATCGAAAGGGACCAAACGAGGGTCGAATATTAAACGATGGTGAAAGAGACGAAACGTATCGTCAAACGTTGAACAAATATCGACACGTAATTCAAACGAGAACTGTACGAGCGTTTATATCATACGTTTCAAGCAGCGTTCATACGACGTCGGTAAAGATAGATATATCGACCGATTGTCGGTCGCTAAATCAACATTCTCATCGAGCGAGTTAATTTGTGTCAAGCAGTAGTCCGCCAATCTCTGTCGTATATACAAATATACATTTGTCAATTTGAAATGACTTCGTTTCAATTATCACGTGATTACTACTTAATAACAAAGACGAGAAGTATTTAAGGAGCATGTAAAAGTTTAAATTTCATTTTATACATCTTAAGAAATCAACGATGTTTCCCACTCGATTCCAATAATCCAACGACGAGAGAACAAGGAGGATTGTTCTCGTTTGTTCGTTCGTTCGTTCCTTTAAAGATTTCATTTCGGGCAAGTCAAAGTGCGCTTAATCGTTCCGAGTGAACGAGAATACATCGATGGAATAGCGATAAAGTGTTACAGAGGAAAAGACCGTGTTAATTTCATAATATGCATCATCGATAAGTATGTCATTTACTGTAATCTGCCAACACTATGTGCACCCGTCAGAAAGGTAGATCATTTAATTTCTAAACGGGAAAGGAGGCCAAGAGGAATCTTCTCTCTCAGCTAGATAGTAGACGCGAAGTAGCGAAGGTATCCATGACAACGCGATGACAACGGCTCTCTTAATAGTCTGGCAACATCAAAGAGCCTGTCGAGTATTAGTGTCCAGCTTCAGGAATCGAAGCTCGTTTCGAAGAGAGACGAAAGAGAAAGATAGAAAGATATGAGAGAGAGAGAGAGAGAGAGAGAGAGAGAGAAGAGTTATATAGATTGAGAGACAGAACCGAATATAACACGAACGTGAAAGGGGAAAAGACGAAAGCGTCGAGACGAAGGGGGATATTCGTAGTCTATGGAGTAACTGGTAGCACCCCTTTAGCTATTGATCAACGACGAGTCACCAACAACACGCCCTCTTAATTAAACCCTCTAGCAATCTGTTAGATCGTCCTTCGTCAGTGTCCTGCAAAAAGGAGAAGTACTCTTAGCGAAGATGCCATCGGGACACCGATTTTGAATTGTCTCCTTTCTTCGAATTTAATACGATTTTCTTCTTTTTCGTTTTTCTTAATCGTTAAAAAAATTTATTTTCGAAATATTTCCAATAAGATCGTCTCTCTCTCTCTCTCTCTCTCTCTCTTTCTTTCTTTCTCCTGATACCATAGGAAAATTTTTATCGGTCTCTATAATACATCGAAGTTAAATTGTGGCCCGATTTGATTCAACCTTTAAGAGAGTATCCCTTTTGAGAAAAATCACGAGGAAAGATCTTCCGCGAGATTTCGTTTTTGGTAGAAAGAGAGAAGAAGAACGTCCACGAACGTCCTCAAGTACCCTTTGGCTTTTATAGGAACTGAAAGGGACGAGAGAACTTGTGCTCTCGAACGGACGGAAGAGGGAGGAGCTTTAATAACGAGCTAAGAAAACGTGCTCTATTTCTTAGAAAGGACAAATAGAGAAAGAGAGGAATAAAAAGAGAGATAGAGAGATAAGGGGAGAGAAAGAGAGAGAGAAAGAGAGAGAGAAAGAGAGAGAGAGAGAGAGAGAGAGAGAGAGAGAGAGAGAGAGAGAGATGGAATAAGAGTTTAGTTCGTCGCGTTGGATACTCGAGATCGTCGCAGAGAGAGAGAAAGAGAGAGAAAGAGAGAGAGAGAGAGAGAGAGAGAGAGAGAATACAGTGCTCACAAAATAAAATGTTTCTCTTTCGACGAGGGAAGAAGATGTCTGAGTTTAATATTAACGGGCTGCTCCGTACCGAATTAAAGATGTTCGCCGACTCCCAAGAGTCACCCTTAATTATTCGACTTTACTGTCTCCCACTTCGCACCCTCTAATTCTATTTCTCTCAGTCTCTAACTCGCGCGCTCTCAAGGCAAAACTTTCGTGCGAGTTTCTTTCGAAGGTAAAGGAGGATAATTTTGTGCCGCGTTGATTCAGAGATGTATCTCACTTGTCTTGATGCCTTTTTCTTTTTTATTTTTTTTTCCTTCTTCTTCTTATTTTTTTTTTCTTTCTTTCTCTCTTTCTTCCTTTCTTTTTTCTTTTAATTATACCCTTTAATGATTCACAGATTTCCTCTGTCTTATTTCAACTCGACCTTTCTTCCGTCTCTCTCTCTCTCTCTCTCTCTCTCTCTCTCTCTCTCTCTCTCTCTCTCTCTCTCTTTCGTTTTTACTTTACCGTTTATCCGTCTGTACTATCTTGGACAAATATTTATACGAAAAATAATCGGGATAAAATCGTAAAGAAAAACATTCGTGAGAATTTCACAGGGGGTACCGATTAAACGCCCGTTTCCACGAATTCGATGCGAATGACTAATTATACCCGGAAGATCTCTCGTAGGATATATGGAACGAGAGATAGAGAGAGAGACAGAGAGAAACAGAGCGAGAGAGAGAGAGAGAGAGAGAGCTTTTACGAGACAATGAAGCAGTAGTTTATAGGTATGGTAGGTATCAGCATGCCGAGATACCAAGCATATCTTCCATTTCGTCGAGGCAGCACAAGAGTAGGACGATGGTGGGTGTGGTGATAGGTGGGTGGGGAGGGGCGGGGGAGAGAGTGTAAGAAGATTCTTCTTCTGTGGGTGTAGTCGAAAGTCGTTGACAGTGAAATGACTCGAAGGAACTGAAGTAAGTGACAAAAGAGAGAGAGAGAGAGAGAAGGATAAGGAGAAAAGGATCGAGGATAGAAGGAGCAGCTGTAGGAGCAAGATGAGAAGGAGGAGGAAGAGTAGGAGGAGGGAAAGAGAGGATTCAGGCTCATTCACTGAGTAATTAGCAAGGAGGAGCCGGTAGAACGGTTTATTAGCGCGGAAAGCACCAAACGTTGCTCGTGTAAATATTCTTGCGCTATTCCGCGACGCCACCGGTAAGTTCTCCGTTAAATATCTAACCTCTAGCCGCGTAATAGCGGATATGTATGGTGTTACCAGGGTACCTAATCTTAACGACGCTAGATACCGCCAATATTTTTCCGCAAAACAGGGAAGAAAATTTTCTACGCCGGCGATGCTGATGTTAGTGCTATTCCTTCCCTCGGTACGGCCAAGAGTTTTCTCTTCTCATTTACTAAGACTTTCAACGCTTCCTCGTTCTCGGTTTCCCCTTATTCTCCCTCCAGTCTCTTTCAACCATCCACCTCTTGCCGAGATTTATCGTGCGTAATTCTTTTGCTTTTTTTTTCTGTGATGAAATATGAAAAAAAAAAAAAAAGAAACAATAAAAAATAAATAAATTTTAGATATCGTTATACAATGAAATGGCATTCCATCGAGAACCATTGAAATAATTTCATTTCGCCAGCTATTGTTAATTTGAAAAAAAAAAAAAAAAAAAAAAAAAAAAAAAGAAAAAAAAAAAAGAAAAAAAAAAAGAATTTTTGTATACATACATATATATATCTATTGTGTGTGTATGTATATATATATATATGATTCTCTATTTATCAATGGTAATATGATCTTATCGTATAGTGACTATCGAAATGCAAAGCATTTCGAATTATTTTCTATACATTATTAACGATTGAAATGATCACTTCAACGGCGGCGTATCATTCAATGCATATTTCCCCACTGTAACAACCTCTATAAGCATTTAATGAATCGTTTTACTAGTAGAATTAACAGATTATCGAATTATCATTGAGGCACTCATTGAATGCTGAATGATAACCGAAGAGAGTATTTTCGTGTTTATAGGATTGGACGTTCGATCGTAACTTGGTACAATTGAATACAATTAATTCATTAAAATGAGTGTGAAATGAACCGTTCGTGATATCCTTCTCTTGAGTCATCTAAATTACTTCCTGTCATTCGAGATGTCTAAAAGACACGAAATGAAGCGCATCAGGGTGGATAGATTTCTTCCGGTGTTTCTTATAGCACGTTAACCACGAGACCGCGGTGTGAATCAACTTATGAAAGAACGACATGAAAACACGCACGCAAACGTCACAATACATTTACCAAAGTGGCGATCACGAAGTGGCAAACGCGTTTCCTCGCGCTACTTGCTTTTATAACGGACACCAGCTAAACTAATGGTCCGTTTAAACGCGTAATGAAAAACGCGTGGACCTCCCGTGCGGCCGAGCAAGCTTGCCGACACAGTAAATTGTTTTCAGCTAATTACATCGATGCTCGGGACATTCATTGCACCATTCGCGATATGTTTTTGCCGACTAAATCGTAGTTTACAACAATAACGACGGAAGAAAAAGGTAACTAGGATCTTAAGCGAAACGTAAGGAAGCAGACTATTATTATTAATCGTGAATTAATTTCTTTTTCTTTTTTTCCTCTCTTTTTTTTCTTTCATTATAGAAAAAAACATCGCTTATAAGTACTATCGTAAGTACTATAATAGTACCTATTAATATAATAATTTTCTTATTTACATATTCTTCCTTTCTTTCTTTCTTTTCTTCTGTTCTCTTTTTTTCACGTTTACTGTCGTCCATATAGTAATATAGATAGTGTAAGTCCATGTATTTGTATACGTACTTACGTACGTACATACGTGGCCAATAACCTTCGTCGCGATAAGTTTGTCTCGCGTAAGACTCCTCCTTCTTAACGAGTCTATTTTCAAGTTTATTTTCCTTCCTTATAGCAACCTTTTAATCCCAGATCTAACTTTTTCTTAGAAACATTCTCCACGATCGCAAAACTGTAATTTCAAGGATAGTTCTGACGAAGATAAAAATATATTTTTTATTGCATTTGTGTATCGTAAAACTTATCGCCGTTTGTCTCTTAACTTTCTCAAAAAGGAAGTTGTATTCTCATAAAAAGAGCAAAAAAAAAGGCAAGAAAAAAAAAAAAAGAAAAAAATAAGAAGAAAAAGAAGGGGAAAGAAAAAAAGAGGAATAAAAGGAAATGTCTCGAGGAAAGAATCGATCAAGTCGAGTTAAATTCCTACCAATAGCAATTACGGTCTTCTCGCTTTTGACGTTTAGTCGTTGAAAATATAGAAAAAGGACGAAAACGAATCAACAAACTCGTCTCACCAAGTTTGACTCACTTGAAACGTTCATCATGTAAGTTTTGAGAATGTATCCGAGTTTTCGGATACGGCCAGTTGAAGAGTTCTGTAAACAACATCGCGTCCAATGGAAACGGAAGTGTCCTGCGTTGAGAGATAACTGCAAGTATCTCTGACTCTGTGTAATTGCAATGATAAGAAAAATGTGAAGAAGAAACGAACGAATTTTCCAAATGAATCATTGACATCAAACGAAAATTGTTTCTTTTTCTCTCGAAGTGTTTCCTTCCTTTTGCGTATAAGAAAAGAAAGGAACAAAATGAAAAAGAAAAAACAACATAATAAAACGGATAAAGAGAGAGGGAGAAAGGAGGGAGGGAGGGGTGGAGGGGGTGGAAAAATAACCACGAAAAAAATATTTATCGAACGTATCCTATTTATGTAATATAAATGGATTCCGGAAATTATCGTGTCGCTAGTGTAACATCGTTCGTTCATGCGAACGTTCTATAGTTAATGCAGCGTAGGAATAAAGGGGTAACTAACCTTATTCACCCCATTGTGATGTTTGACATTTGATGTTCTCCGGTGTGTACGACCACTCACATCATTGAACCTGCAAATGGAAGATTGTGTATACATGATAATGTTTTGCGATAAGATCGATTGAAGTATTTTTTTTTTCTTTTGTTAATTTTAGAACTTTCGAAAGATATAGTTATATATCGAGATGTTGTTGAGAATGAAAAGGAAAAAAAAGATTGAACGTTTAAAAAGTCATATGAGAAGGTCACCCATCATCGCTCTCTCGGCGAAAAGGGTTAAAAAAAAAGAAATTAAAAAAAAAAAAAAAACAAAAAAGAAACAAAAAAAAAGAGAAACTTTACTCTCCAACATTTTCCAACGTGTCAGGGTATACCGTCGAGTAAGCTCCGATGAATTTTACATGAATTCAAGCCTTCTCTCTCTCTCTCTCTCTCTCTCTCTCTCTCTCTCTCATTGCTCGTTTTCACATGGGAGTAAGTTAATAGCAGTAAAATAGAACTTTACCGGTCGACCTTCTCGTTAAAAAGAAAGGGCGATAGGCCAGACGATACAGTTGCACCTTTCACCCTCTTTCACCACTTTGATTTAACTTATCCGAAAGTTCCTTTCGCCTCTTGTCGATTTACGAAGAAGCGTACTTGAATGTCCTCGAAGAATGTGAATGGACGTACATAGCTCGATCCATACTATCTCTATTTCCACTTCTTTTTTCCTTTTCTTTTTCTTTTTTCTCTTTTTTTTTCCTTTCTTTTCTTTCTCTTTCTTTCTTACTTTCTTTTCGATTCAAAAGTATCCTCAACGACAGGCACGTTCGGTACCGTCACGGGTGGAGTAAATAAAAGGATTTCCAAGTTTCCGCCAGGTAGAGAACTACCTTCAGGGCAATCCTTTCTCATACTCTCTTTCTCTTTCTCTCTCGTCTCTCTCTCTTTTTTTCTTTCTTTCTTTCTCTGTCTTTTTGTCTGTCTGTCTGTCTGTCTGTCTGTCTGTCTGGCTGTCTCTCTCTTTCTCTTTCTACTTTTCGTTCATCTTTCCCTCTTTTCTTCTATGCGAACCCGTTAGAAGCTCCTTTCTCTGTTGGACGATTTCGAAGGAGGAGACGACGAAGAGGTACACGTACCACGTGGGTAATCGCTCGGTGAGTCTTCTTTCTCTCTTTCTTTTTTCTTTTCTTTTCCTTTTTTCTTTTTTTCTCCTTTCTTCCTTCGAACGATTGCGATATCGATTCGTTGTTTCAATAGTGCCGCGAGCTACGCGAGATATTTCTTCTGGAAACGATCAGAACGAAATAATCGTGCTCAGTCGGACAGTAAAAAGAGATAAAGAAAGAAAGAAAGAAAGAAAGAGAGAGAGAGAGAGAGAGAAGAAGAGACAGAAATAGAAAAATAATAGGGGAAAAATTACGGGCGGTATCTTACTAGAAACGAGGAGAACGTAATTGCGTGGAACATTTGTGGCAACGCATTTGTCTTTCCCGCGTACTACCTACAGCGCAAAATCGACCCATGTAAAAGCGCGTTCCATAGGATCTCACAAACACGTTCCAGAAACGTTTCCATGAGACTCCAAATGTCCATTTTGTGACGTCCCGTGGATCCTGTAGGAGCTTTTCCTTGCTACGGAAATTGTTCCTCTTGTCGGCCATTATACGTCCGCGTACGTTCTATTTATGCTAATGAGATTTCCTTCGGACGTTGATGCTCCCTTGGTATTTTCGTACTTTCAAAGAAAACGCGGCCTTTGAAAATAATTCGCTTTATCGAACTTCACGATCCTTTAAAAATTTATGTGTTTAAAAAAAAAAAAAAACGACGAAAATAAAGCTACTAGTTTTATTTTATTTTATCTTTCTTTTTTTTCTTTTTTTTTTTCTTTTTTTTTTTTTTTTTGCTTTTCTCTTACAAATTATATTATTCCGAATGAGACGGAACGAAGAAATTTGCGGCGAATTGTCGTATATTCAAAAACTCTTAATAATTAAGAAAGTGACGATTGTCCTTTATACGAGAACTTTCGTTTCTTCGCAAAGTGAACGTCAATTAGTTGAACGTCGACAAAAGGCCATCAAAGTGGCAGAATATTTGACTAATGACTTTTCAAATGGTACTAATTGCTTGAAGAAGTAGGTGCGACCATTCTATGAAAATACAACTTTGTAACGTCGTCCACTCATTTATAATCCGGTACTATTCGTAAAAGGGAACGGTCCAGAACCAAGCGTTACTTTATTTCAGTAAGGAGTGAAGCAAAGAGAAGAAAGAAGAATAAAGAGAGAGAGAGAGAGAGAGAGAGAGAGAGATAGAGAGGAGCAGAAGGTGGAGGGAGAAAGGAGAATTTGCCAATCGCGAATTTGAAAGCTTAACACTAGAACTTCTCGAGATCACTCTTTGGAAACTTGGTAGAAAGTAGTCTCATGAATTCGGCTGTTTCAATTCCAAGCGGAGAACGTGAGCGAAGCGGGTCGATGGATGGAGATGAAACGTGGGAGAGAGAGGGTGAAGAGGGTGGTTTTTAATATTGCAAGCTCGAGCGAACGATTTTCGTGAGTATCAACCTACACTCGAACGATCTCCTCTTCTTCTTCTTCCGTCTTCTTCCTTCTTCTTCCTTCTTCTTCCTTCTTCTTCCTTCTTCTTCCTTCTTCTTCCTTCTTTACTTTGGTGTTCCTTGCATTTTTAACTACTCACCAGTAGAGAAACTGCTAAAGATCGGACTTCTTTTCTTCATAATTTATAATAATCCGCGCTATGTTAAATCCTCGTAAGCGAAATTGTCTCACGTTCGAGCTCGTAAAAGGGACGAACGAGTACTTTGTTATTAAAAGAGGGTGATGGTTTTAAAAAGATAGTGAAACGGGGAAGAATTAAAAGTTGTTCCCAATGGGCTGAGATAAAGTATAAGAGAGAATGAAGTATTATAACGTTGAGACAAGTTTTACGAAATGTCTACTAATAATAATCGTTAAGACTTTAACAATTGATAAGAGGCCATCGCATAATCGATTAAAAACATTCTTCGAAATGATCGGACAACTGATACGGTTTTAAATCTAAAGATTTAATAACTTTGCCTTTAAAAATGCACGAGTAAATCATCGTCGAGAGATAAGAAAATATGTTTTTCGAAGGGAACTCCATCGTTATATTTTATTTTACACTTTATTTTCTCTGAATTGTCATCGGTCAGACAAGAGAAAGAGCTTTTTAAGTTTACGAATTTTAAGCTTTATTTCTTTCCTTTCTTTCTTTCTTTTTTTTCTCCTTTTTTTTTTTCTTGTTTTCCCCGACCGGTGAAGCTTTAAACGCTCGTTTTAACAATGATAACAACAAATTCAAGTTACGCTGGAATGTGTTATTTATGTAGCCACGTGTGGTTGCAGCTTCGTATCGTTATGCCAAATGTTGCGAAGGAAGGAAAGAAAGAGAAAGAGAAAGAGAAAGAGAGAGAGAGAGAGAGAGAGAGAGAGAGAGAGAGAAAGCAGGTGAAAGAGGTAGAGGGGATAAAAAAACGAGAAACCGTTGGAAACGTTAACGCAAACAATGTAAATTCTCCAACAAGAAGAAAGAGTGCGTTCAACGGAGCGCATGGAATTCAAGCAAGGGAGGAGTATGCCTTTCCCTAGGAAAAGTATTCGTGTGAAACTGGCAGCACGAATAAAACTTTTTTTTTTTAACCTTTGCTAATTGCGCGAAAAAAATCGAAAAAAAGAAAACAAAAAAGAAGAAAAAAAAAGGATTAAGAAGAAGAAGAAGAAGAAGACGAAAGAACAACAAGAAAAAACGAGAAAATAAAAAGGAAAGAGTAGAAAAAAAGAAGGAAGAAACATTTCGAAGATACAAGTAATCACGTAAAAATATTACTAAGCGATAAATTGTTATTAAAGTATGAGTTAATTAAATTACGACATGTTCAAACTTGGAATTTTCGAAAGATCATTTTCTTCTTGAACAATTCCTCTTCAATTATCTCAGGGAAAGTGTTTTTTTTTTTATAAACGATACCGATGGAAAATAATGGAAGTAGATGAAAAAAGAACAAAAAAAGAAAAAAAAAAAAAGGAAGATGTTATTAAGCATATATCTACGTGGACGAAGAAAAGATCTTGAAAGAAGAGATGAAACGCTATTGGTCTAACGAGCGTGCTGGTAGAACGTTATACTTGCCAGAAGTAGGTATTCAGTTAACTGTGCCGAACTAATCCGGAGAAACGACCGTACGGACCGATACCTCGATATTTAGAGTTATTGCCCCCCGATCGCGGAAAGTTCCGTTTTGTACTCGTATGCCAAGAAACAGAGAGAAACAGAGAGAAGCAGACAGAGAGAGAGAGAGAGAGAGAGAGAGAAAGAGGCGGAAAAAGAAGGAGAAAGCGATGTAACACCGTTCGCTTTATTGCTACGGTCCATTAACCGCCATTTTGGTTTCACGTATATGCTCTTCGTTTGCCACGAGCCAGCTAACGCGAAAATCGTTTGCCCTGTTCTTTCTTTCTTTCTTTCTTTCTTTCTTTCTTTCTTTCTTTCTTTCTTTCTATCTTTTTTTCTTTCTTTCTTTCTTTCTTTCTATCTTTTTTTCTTTCTTTCTATCTTTCTATCTTTTTGTCCTTCTATCTTTCTTTTTCAACTTCAAAAGAGAAATAAAGTATAGGGTTGAAAGAATAGGGAATAGTTGGCCCTTTAAATTCTACGAATTCGAAAGGAAACTTATTTAAAGGGAATAATTTGCAAGGGGAGAAAAGGATGCCGCGATATATTTTCTCACCCATAAAGGGCAAAACTTTTGCGAAAGATAAAAAGAGAAGGAAGAATACAAAAGGGAACGAAGGCGTTAGTAATCCGAATGAAAATACAAAAGGAACGTGTTCGATTTAATACGAACAAAAAAAAAATAGAAAGAGAGAGAGAGAGAGAGAGAGAGAGAGAGAGAGAAAGGAAACTTTATTCATCTTGCTTCCAATTCTACTTGAATGGGAATTGTTATGACATTGTATTGTTATTGATATTATGTACAAGAGAATTAAACGTTCATTCGAAGCTTTAAATCGAGTGTTCCTCTTTTTTTCTTTCTCTC